ATAGATTAGTCGTAAGCGTTGCACACTAGAGTCATTTTCTGTATTTTGCATTTTCCGTGTGTGAATTTTTTCAAAAATTAGGTGGTGTAAATGGCGTGGTCCAAATTGATGGTCCAAAATGGAGAGAACAGCGACGATTTTCCCTTCATGTCCTGAGAGATTTTGGAGTTGGTCGAGCACTGATGGAGGGAAAAATCATGGATGAGGTTATTCTTACACTACATCTTTCACTCTCATTCTTTGAACTAGCAACTCGCTATGAGGATATTTGGGAAAAGATCATTTTGAAATGAAAATTCTTGAAAATTTCCAGGTAAATGCTTTTGCTACTTATCTTTGCGAAAATCAAGGTCAAGTGACAATGAATAGTCCAATAGCTGTTTGCGTTGGTAATGTAATCAACAATATGCTTTTTGGAATGAGATTCCCTCAGGTAAATTCTGAAATAACCTGTGAAAGCAGTGCAAGGTCTAAAATTCCCTAAAGTAATTTTAGGGCTCTGCCGAAATGCATCGTCTTCACTCTCTCTTGGATAAACAATCGAGGCTTGTAATAAATCCATTGATGGGTTTGTATATTGCTGCACCGTGGACTACGGACATTCCACTGTTAAACACAAAATGGAATGATTTAATGGCAATTCGTTCTCAACTTTATGATTTTCTTCAGAAGCAGATTGATGTACGAGTCTACCGTAGTGCAGAGAGTGACAGTATGATGAATTCCGAATTCAGGATCATCGAGTGAGGCTTGCACATGGTGATCCTATTGAAGATGATTTCACATTTACCTATATGCGTGAAATGGAGGATCGACGACAAAATGACGGCGAAATGGGCTTCTTCGAGTAGGCTTACTCTACTCTAAGTTGAGACCCTTCCTCAATAAAAGCGTTCGTCTTCAGTGACTGCCAAATGAAAATGCTACTATTGGATCTGTTCTTTGCCGGCATGGAAACTACTGTGACCACTTTGAAATGGGCTTTTCTAATGATTACTGTTAATATCGACATTCAACGCAAAGTTCAAGAAGAACTTGACAACAAATGTACGGGTAACAGAGTAACCCTAGCGGATCGTCCACGTTTACCATACACGCAGGCAGTGATTAATGTAAGCTGAACACATATATTTTGGATTTGATTATCTATTTGTTTCAGAAAGTCAAAGTCCGAAGGAGATATTTATCGAATCTTTTCTATCTTATATTGAATTAAGAAAATTTTTAAAAATCTTATTAATATTATAGCTGCGTTTAAAAATAAGGGAAGGGCGAGAAGGACTCATTTAGCCCGTTCTCGCCCATTCTTTTTGTATTGTGTTCCTTGATGACAGAGCTTTACATCCACTCATTGTCTGGTAAATGAAATTCTAGGAAGAAGAAACAAGTAATTTTGCTAAAACATCTGATTCCAAAACTCTCTAACTTTCGGTTCTGAAACACGTCTTATTCTTTCACATATTGACTTTTCATATGTCATTGCCATCTTCCTTAATTCACGTTCTTTAACGCTGATTCAGAGTTCTTAGAGTCTCAGGTTTTCCTCAATTTTCTCCTGTTACACTCAGCTGCTCATCCATCAATACCTCGCTGCGGCGTGACCTTTACAACCCCCTTCTCATTCGACACTAAAAAGACTATCAGCGCCAGATACCGTATGTAAAGTTCATTCCGAACAGTTTTGGATGTAACAGCG